ATACTTCAGAATGTTAATTTAGTAAATTTAGTATCAAAAACGTAAAATATTTGAGTAGCCCGAGAAATAGCCAAAGATTGCAGCGCCACAGCACTAGCGAAAATTTAAATTTGCCGACTGGAATGCTTTCGGATAACGGACGTTTCGGATAACCAGCTTTCGGATAAACGACGCTCTACTGTATACATTAATTTATTTTCATACGAATTAACTTATATTCATTTTTATAAATATGTAATTGACATAATCTGAATGAAAGTAAACGTTATGCTTATTTCTATGATTCGGGCCCATCAGTGGCCAAGCGGTTCCATTCTCTGAACACTGGTAAGTTCGGCTATGGGTTCGCGCCTCGCCAGGACGGGCTGGCCACGTGGAGTTCTCCGGGTTTTCTTCACGTCTGTAACGCCTGAATAGGTGACAATTACCTTTAAAAAGACCTCTCGGTCTGCCTAGGCACCCCCATAGGCAGATCGCCCAAGTGTTGCGTTGCCATAAGTTAATAAATCCTTATATAAAGCTACCATGTCAAATTTCTTCTTCATCATTATCCCATCCTGAAATATTAAAGGAAATAGATACCAACACACACACACATCCACGGAATTTCTCTCCTTTTTTTTTCCTTTTACTTTTTTAGGTTTAGGATGTCTCAAAATGTGGAGATTTGAAGGGGGAAACACTCTAAGGTTGAAATTTGACACGATTCTAATACTTTCCCTTGTTAGTATAGGCCTATACAACAGCCGGGAAAGTAAAAGCGAAAAACAGTGTTCTAAATTAATAAATTGTGAATTGTGCTTCTAATCACTTTTTCATTCATCATAAATTATAATACGATGCAATTTTGTTACAGATGCATTAAAATTTAATTATTTTTCATCTCATTTACATGAGATTATTTAATGTTCAATATACTGTATCAATTTTCTTTGCAATAAATATAAGGTAAATATAAGGTAAGTCGAGATCATTCTACTTTAAGATTATCAATATCTTGCGAGAAAATGTCCCCTTTCTGTTCTGTAGACAAATTTAACAATTTTAATAATTATTCTCGGTTATATTCAAGAATAATGACATTGTGTTTATTACATGAAACGATCGCAATAACAACAGAAAGAGTATCGCTAGGAAAGAAAGCTTATAACAGAGGAGCATAACTTGTTGCATTGACTGACCTATAGAATAATCAAATTTCATATTTTATTTAACACTCGAATTCGGACATAAAGAAGACAGTTTTTATGTAAGAATATTTATGACATAGATCATAATGAAACTAGCCGATAAAATCAATACAATAATCCCTCCATTTTACGAGAAAATGAAGTTATGGAAATCTGTTTAAAATAGGGATCTGTTCCATATAATCAAATACAATTTTACTCTTACTGGGGTAGAGAAGTTTTAACCACAGTTTTTTCTTTTTTTAATATAGGTCTGTATAAGAGGTTACTGATAACAAAACCACACCTTTTGATGTAACTAATATTTATTTCCGTAAAGTTTATTATTTAAAATTTGAAATTTTTCAATCACGTTAAAGTGAATTCACGTAAATGGAAAAATTATTTTATATAATTTTTGACATTTTACATACCTATAGCAAACTGATTTTTGGATCACGTTATTAGGATGTTGTCATTTTGGTTGAAAATTATCAAAAGACGATCGACCCCAGTAGCTAGCTTAAGTCTATTAAGATCATGTTATTGTAATGCGTTGTTTCTATTTAAAATTTAAATATTTATAAGTCTAACTATGAGATCCACGTGATTCTTGTCACGGTTCGACATCGAAATGTCCTCTAAAAACGCAGAAATTATGCTTAGAGAATTTTCATAAGCCACAACGACACGTCATATGTGTTTGGTACAGAGATAGGCTCAAGTCGTTCGATTCAACTGTTTGTTGATAGAAAAACTTTACACTATTCTCGGTTTCTTTTACCAAGTTTGATGAAATTCCTTGAATTTCCATCCACCAATTCGATTGATTAGGCGTCCTCCACGCTGAGAGAGAGTGTCGGAGAGATGAAAAATTCCGGATTTGCTGAGTTGAGAAGGGCTGTCGTTCTTGTTGAAGAGAAGCACAAAGGCACACAGTTCGATGAGCGGAAGAGAAGTCGGTAGTAACAAGGAGTACAGCAACAACATAGGATTAATCTAAGGACTACGGCGGATCTAATAGAAACGGATCAAATTTGGTAATCTTGGGACACGGTTTTTATGTTATTTTGGATATACACTCGAGTATATCCCAATTGGTCTCTTATCTGTTTTCAGGAGATAATTTGAAACCGACTTGGGCTACGGGAAAGGTCGACACCGATTTCCGATCTCAACCTGAGATAATGTTTACTGATTTAAATAAACTATTAGTTTATTTAAATCAAGCGCCATGTTCTTCTATTCGACAGTTATTATTTCAAGATGTCAGTCGTTCGAAATAATATTTTAAATAGATAAATAGATATAATATTTTAGATAAATAAATATAATATTTTATATAGATAGATATAATATTTTAGATAAATAAATATAATATTTTATATAGATAGATATAATATNATATAACAAGAAACACGGCGATATAAAGTAGCCCAAAAGCAGTGCCAATTTGGCACTGCTTTTGGGCTACTTTCTGTTCGGAATCAGTGGAAGAGCGTGGCGAGTATCTGGCAGTCTTGGTTCTTTTGCTGGAGTTCTCAACGATATAATAAATGGTGGAAGGTCGTGCAACATTCGGAGCGGAGGGGAATATGTCTACGTAAGTATATTTTTACAATTGAAATTGTTTAATGTTCAATTATATCACCATTGACGATTGCCTTATGAATTATTTGTAGGACACGCAAAGAAGCAATTCCTTCTGTCCAAGTATTCGGCAGAAAGGTAGGTAGTTAAGCCTAACGGCCACGTGTAAGGTTTAAAAGATTTATTGTTTTTTTTCTCAAAGTTTTAAATATATAATTCAATAACAAGTATTTTTTAAAAATCGTAAAGTTCTTTTGTACTTGTATACATAAAACCAGTATAAATAATTGTTACAGTTATGCTTTCATTGTAGTAAAGAATTGAACCAATGTACAGCATGGCGACCAGTGAACCATTATGCATCGAAATATTTTTTTAAATTCAATACGATTTCAAAACCATTCCATCATATTCTCGTAAACTCAAATATTTGTGATTAAATTCATTATTTCTCTTGTTTATTTTTACCCAGTTTTAACACTGCTGAATGTGATGGTAGTTTTTTAGTGGTCACAGCAACATATATCCTGTCTCATCTTAAATAGTATTGAAAAGATGATAGAGTTGCTTAAATTTAATATCCTTTTATTATTAAAAAACAAAATTATAGCGATTTGAGAACATTTATCATCTTATCACTAAGACTTTTATATATGAATTATGAATTCCTTGTATCAATCAACTTCTGCTTTCTTTCAAAAAAAACTTAAATGAAAAACAAATATGGATTTATCTCTATTACATATCATCATTTTTTTTGTGTGTGAATTCTAATGGTCCATTGCTGCTGGTGAAATGATGTCAAATTAGATAATGGTGTTAATTGCTATTTGCAATTTTTATAGACTTTTATGATTAGTGCTTCAAAAATGTGTTGAAAATGTAATAATAAATTATAAATAATCTAGCAGGGGAAATAAATGCAAGAAGTGTGCTGTGGAAACTGAACTGGGCATAAAACTAAGTGTGTTAGGTGGAAAAAATCTGCATTGAACTGGGCATAAAACTGTGTTAGGTGGAAAAAATACCTGCTACTAGTAGTGCAGTAGTGAGTAAATGACTGATGTACATCACAGGATCAAACACTAACAATACATGATTATCTGTGTACACATACTTTCTAGGTTAGTTTTTGACTTATGACAAACCCTCTAGAACCTTACCAATTCATAAGTAGGGGAGTCACCTATATTGTGCAGATTTTGAAAATCATGAGGCTTGGTAGAGGAAAGCCACCAAAGTGATCAAATGAATGAACAGATTAACAAAGCAAACCTTACTATACTGGAATTAGAACACACTGTCTATTCAAATTCACATTTTATTTAAAAAAAAAACTCAAGATTTATATGTAACCCTGACAAAATATGAGTGTCATCATTCTAATTTTTTTTTACCTACATATAAATTTCATTGAGTTTTGTCCATTTGTTCCCGAGATGTCGATTTTTTACATTTCACTTAAAAATTCTTCCTTTCTTTCTCCTTCAGCCCAGAAATGTTACATTTTGCAAAATGTCTGCTTGAGGCATGCTCATTTTTATATGAATCATTTTAATTTAAATTACCAATTTGTTGTATTTAAAAAAAAAAAAAAAGTGTTTTTAGTAATATTTAGATGGTCTGTAGGAAATCTGTTGACTTTTACATTGTTTAATTCAATTTTTAGAGTTGTCTACAACACAAAGAAGATCATTGACATTGTTATGAATACAAAAAGAACATTTTTTAAATATTTAATTAAATGTAATGTAATGTATAAAATAATTCAATAGTAGCAAATTAATAGCTCATTAGCTATTAATTTGCTACTATTCCAAAAGACTTATCAAACCACAGTTCTTTAAACTGAAAGTTTGAGATTTTTTTGTTTTATTAAATCAATATGTACATTTTGGGTTTATTCTGAAATTGGTTTGTTTATTAACTTAATTAATTAATTAGTAGTGTATTTTTTACCCTCTTAATTAACTAATCAATCAATAATCTTAGCTATTAGGCCACCATTTTGTACTAGATTAACTGTGTCAAATTTGTTAGGTTGTGTAATTTGTGGTTCAGAAATAATATGACCATTTAGATTTATGATTAACATTTCTTATGTTTTTGCTTCTTCTATAAAGATCAAAATTGGAAAATGCTTTTTCATATGATAACATCATGTGTCAAATTTCATTTAAATCTTATTCCAGACCAGTATGGCCCAATCTTTTTGGATTAACAACACACTTTGAATTTACAGTGAAACCTCCATTAACAGACATTTTTACAATCCCCAGACTCTTCAAATACAACAACGTCTATTATATTTACTTCTAAATAACAGACATTGTTGTCCATAACCAATTTTTGTGAGAAGTAAAGTTTTGTCTTCAATACAGTCGACCCCCCTATAACGCGCGTTCCTATAACGTAGCGAAAAAATTGTAGCAACATTTGTATAAAGTACCTCCTATAACGTCATTTCGCGACAAGATTGATAGAATCTGGACGGAATAGATATCAACTGGATAGAATCAACTGTAGAATTCGGCTGCTCATCCAATAGTG